TGGCCGCTCGGCCTCGGGCCGCCAGTTGACCGTGGCGCGGTTGCGGATGTTCTGGGCGCGGCTGGCGTAGTTGAGGGTGTTGAGGGTCTCGTCGAAGTCGGAGGAGGAAGGGCTGACGCAAGCGATCATCACCGTCTTGGCATTCCCACCCAGAGAGTCTTTGAGGATTCTGAGGGCGCGAGGGGGAGGCTCTCAGGGGCCCTGAGACGCCAGGCCCAGGGCCCGCGGGCCAGACCCGGGACCGGCTAGCTCCTGGCACGGCTCCCCGTGGGAGGAGACCTGGGAGTGCCTGGGCTTCCACCCCCAGTGGCGTGACACTCCCCGCCTCCCCGGCCCCCAAGCCACACAGGAGCCAGGGGGCAGCTCACCGGGTGATCTTGGAGTCCCGGTAGGGGATGTGGCTGCCCCGGCGCTGAGGGTCCCCCAGGGCGCTGATGACGTTGCCCAGCGCCAGGAGGCTGCTGTTGATCTGGATGCTCTCCTTGAGCCGCTCGCCGGTGCTGCCCGTCTTGAGCACCCTCTCTGAGCCCGCCAGGTCCACGAAGTGGAACTTGGAGACGAGCAGCTGGCCCTGGGCGGGGCGGGGCAGGCGGCTGGGGGCGCGCCCCCGCTGCTCCAGGGTCACAGTGAAGACTGTGTGTGAGCGGCTAGACAGGCGGTTGAGGTGCGTGGCTCCCGTGTGCCGCGCCGCGTTGCCCATCTCCAGGAGGCTCAGAACCTCGTCCAGGCCCTCCACGTCCACCTCCTTCACCCCGCACAGCACTGCGGGCACAGAAGGCCGTGAGCCCCACGGCAGGGGCCGCCAGACTGACCAGCCAGGAGGGCAGGCAGAGCAGAACTAGCCCCAAACTTGCCCTTCCTGACCCACCGCTCCCTCCCCACGCCCACGGGGTACTGCCCTTCCTAGTTCGGGCTTGAGGGGCTCCGGCTTCCCACTGGCCCACCTCAGTGCCTCTCACTCTGGGTACAGAAGCAGAACTGAACTCACTGGAGACAGGAAGCTAAAGCAAAACCTCCCAGGGCTTGGGTTTTCCATGAGGAGTTGCCATTCCCAGACAGGTAAGCACCCCACTCCAAGCAGGTGAAGCCTCCCTAAACCCCTCTCCATCAGTGGAGGACCCCGGAGTTCCTCACCAACATTCCCATGCTCATCTTCCCGGAGCTGGATGTCACGGCTGGCAGTGCCCACCTCGAGCAGGTCCCGGAACTCCTCCTTGTACACTTCCAGATAGGACACATGCACCAGACAGTCAAGCAGGTCATTCTCATCGATGAGCTTGAAGGCCTCGGCCATGGCCCTCGGGACAATGCCCTGCTCATCCTCGAGGAGGGAGGCTGGGGAGACACCGCAGGGCCTCCTGCCACTTCAGCTGGACATGGCCCAAGTCCCCCAGGCCCGCAAGCTCATAGGCCCCTGCCAGAGCTGGAGGATGGTGCTCTAGGATGGAGAAGACAGTGGCCAAGGCCAGGATGGGACAGGTGGCCTGAGCTAGGCCATGCTCCAGTGTGGTCAGGCAGAAATATAAAATTTAAGAGTTGGAAGCAACCTCTCCTGATTCAATCAACCCCTTTCATGATGTAAGCATCCCCTTCACTGCATCCTCAACAGATTATCAAATAACCTTGCCTTGATTACTCCTAATCCATGCCGTTATCTAAAGGGCCTCCTAAATTTATCCCAAGGAAATAATCAGAGGAAGTTCAGAGCAGCACTCTTCCTCATGACTTCAAAAAATGCAAACATCCTAAGTGTCCATTTGAAGATCAAACAGGAGATCTGGCCAAATCAACTTTTTTTTTGAGACAGAGTTTTGCTCTTGTTGCCCAAGTTGGAGTGCAGTGGCATGATCTCAGCTTACTGCAACCTCCACCTTCCGGTTTCAAGAGATTCTCCTGCCTTAGTCTCCTGAGTAGCTGGGATTACAGGCATCTGCCACCATGCCCAGCTAATTTTTGTATTTTTAGTAGAGACAGCGTTTCACCATGTTGGCCAGGCTGGTCTCGAACTCCTGCCCTTGTGATCTGCTGGCCTCAGCCTCCCAAAGTGCTGGGATTACAGGCATGAGCCACCGTACCCAACCAACTATTTTATATTCACAATGGAATGCCAGGTAGCCCATTTAAAAGTTGGATTTTTTTTTTTTTTTTTTTTAAGAAACAGGGTCTTGCTGTGTTGCCCAGGCTGGTCTCCCAACTCCTGTGCCCAAGCAATCCTCCCACCTCAGCCTCCCAAAGTGCTGGGATTACAAGTGTGAGCCTGTGTGCCTGGCCTAAAAATTTAGATTGAAGAATATTTAATGATACAGAGAAATGTTCATGATACATTATTTTTTTGTTGTTGTGTTTTTGAAATGGAGTCTCGCTCTGTCGCCCAGGCTGGAATGCAGTGAAGCAAACTTGGCTCACTGCAAGTTCTGTCTCCTGGGTTCAAGCAATTCTCCTGCCTCAGCCTCCTGAGTAGCTGGGATTACAGACCCCCACCACCATGCCTGGCCAGTTTTTTTTTTGTTTTTTGTTTTTGAGACGGAGTCTTGCTCTGTCACCAGGCTGGAGCGCAGTGGCTAGATCTCGGCTCACTGCAACCTCCGCCTCCCAGGTTCAAGCGATTCTCCTGCCTCAGCCTCCTGAGTAGCTGGGACTATAGGCATGCACCACTACACCCAGCTAATTTTTTGTATTTTAGTAGAGACGGGGTTTCACCATGTTGGCCAGGATGGTCTCGATCTCCTGACCTCATGATCCACCCGCTACAGCCTCCCAAAGTGCTAGGATTACAGGCATAAGCCACTGTGCCCTGCTCAGTTTTTGTATTTTTAGTAGAGACGGGGTTTTGCCATGTTGGCTAGGCTGGTCCCGAACTCCTGACCTCCGATGATCCACCCGCCTCCACCTCCCAAAGTGCTGGGATTACAGGTGCGAGCCACCATGCCTGGCCAATGATACATTGTTAAGAAGATCAAACAGGACACAAAAGAATGTATATAATATAATCCCATTTTTGAAAAGTAAAATAATTTTCCCAGACAAACTGGAATGCTAACAGGGCAGGGGATTTCTGAAAGGCAATTATCAAGTACCTTTTACTTCGTGCATGTGTTTTGCTGTATTTTCCTAATTTTTTTACGACAAAGTATGTTTCTGTAACTGCTATGGTCTGAATTTGTTTATGCTCCCCAAAATTCTCATGTAGAAATCCTCATCCCCAATATGATGGAAGTGGGGCCTTTGGGGAGTGGGTGGGGAGAGCCCTCATAAATGGGATTAGTTCCCTTGTAAAAGAGAGCTGAGAGTGACCCCTTCCGTGTTCTACCATGTGAGTTTAGAGAAAGAAGGTGGCTGTCTGTGAGGAAGAAGGCCCTTCAATCTGCTGGTGCCTTCATCTTAAACTTTCCAGCCTCCAGAACTGTGAGGAATACATTTCTGTTGAGGAGCCACCCAGTCTATGGTATTCTGTTATAGTGAAGGGAGCAGAGCAAGGCAGTAACCTGAGAGAAAGCAGCTTGTGTTACTTAAAACGGGACACTTCCTTCAGTTGGCCCAAAGGATCTTTCTCGAAACTGCTCCAGAGCCTGGCTGAAGCACCTTGCAGCCCTGCTGTGCAGCTTCCAAAGCATGCCTCTTCCAGGACACACGGCCCCCGTTCCCAACTGCTCCAACTAGAACACAGATTCCTGACCTTCCCTAGCCAGCCTGACAACCTCCAGAGACATGCCGCCTTCCCGTACCCTTCCTCTACTGAGGTCCCCAGAGCCAGGCAGCATGGCGCCATCTCTATGGAGGTGAGAAGGCCACTCACCTCCAATGACTCTTCCTTCCTGCCCTGCCTACCCCACAGACATGGCTGGTCCCAGCCTGGGCCACAGATCTCTGTCTAGGAAATCAACTCTTCCTCCCCCAGCATCCCCACCATTCACGGGGACAGGCAGCAAGAGGACAGGGGCAGAAATCCAGGAAGGAACTAAGGCTCCTTAAAGTGGGCAAAGGCCCCGAGCAGGGTCACTCACCCACACTGGCCTCCCCCATGGTGTACGTCTTCCCTGAGCCCGTCTGACCATAGGCAAAGACGGTGGCATTGAAGCCCTCGAAGAAGGCCTCAAGGAGGGGCTGAACGCAGGCCTGGTACACGGTCTCCTGCCCGGCATCCTCGGCCAGCACCACGTGGAAGCCAAAGTGTCGGTCACGGCCCAGGGTGATGCGGCCAAGCCCTGGCTCCACCTGCAGGCAGCTCTGATGCCCGTGCAGCAGTTCCTTGGGCAGCAGTGGTCGAACTCGCAGGGCAACCCGCACTGGGGCCTCCTCAGGCCCTGGCAGCCTCTGGGCCTCCAGCCCCATGCTGAGGGAGGACTGCTCTGGGCCCTGTGGAGAGAGAAAGAAGCCCTGGCCATCAGCACTTGTACTCCAGGAGCTAGACTCACCCTGCAGGAGACTGGAGCCAGACCCTGCAGCTCCTGACCTTGGAGGGATTGGGGGGAGGGTGGTCAAAGTTCAGAACATCCCCGTGTCCAACCTGGTGCTCAAAAATTGCAAGGGTCATGACATATATAATCCCCCTAAGTAACACGTCATGGCTCCCAGCACTGGCGAAATGAGGCCCTAACTCCTGCACTCCAGTGTTTCAGCTGCATTCTTCCCTATGGCCCAATCTCCTAGAATAACGCACACACACAGCACCACACCACACCAGGGAACTCTTGTCCCTAACACCCACTGGGTTTACCACAATCTCTGTCTTTGTCACGTCACCCACATCCCCTGCCCCACCTTCTTCAAAAAAGTCAACAGATCCTTCAAGACCAAGCTCTCACCACCAAATCCTGCCAAATCCATCGCCTAAATATCTCGCAAGTTCACCTGCTCCTTCCCATTCTGTTGCCAAAGCCCTAGTCCTGGCCACTGACACTGTGCCAGGATGACTTTGAGCAGCCTTCCCCTGGTCTCAGTCTCCCTGTCCCTGCCCGCAGGGTAGCCAGGGACATCTTTCTTTTTCTTCTTGAGATAGGGTCTCTCTCTTTCACCCAGACTGGAGTACAGTGGCATGATCACTGCTTACTGCAGCCAAGACTTCCCAGGTTCAAGTGATCCTCCCACCTCAGCCTTCAAAGTAGCTGGGACCACAGACACATACCTGGCTAATTATTATTATTATTATTATTATTATTTTGTAGAGACCGTCTAGCTATGTTGTCCAGGCTGGTCTTGAACTCCTGGGCTCAAGGGATCCTCCCAAAGTGCGGTGATTACAGGCATCAGCCACTGCACCTCAGGGGCATCTCTCAAAATGCAAATGCAATTATTTCACTCCCTGCCTAACCTCAACTCTCCAAAAAAAGGCTCTCTACTGCCCTTGGGATTCAAAATATTAAGGAAAAAAAAAAAAAAAAAGACAAGGCTTAAATCAGGCCCTGCCTCCCTGGATTACTCACCTCCCACACCCCAGGCCTTTCCTTGCCGCCTCTCTGCCTGCAACGGCTAGGTGTTACCCAAGCCTCCTCATCCCTCCCAGCTAAGACTGCAGGCACCTTCTTCTTCTTCTTCTTCAGGGAGCCACGGAAGCTTCTCTGTGACCCCACCACCACACGCACACAACCCCCAGTGCTGTTCCACCCGCCCATGACCACTCTAGTGCAACTGCAGGTTACTACCCGCTTCTCTCCCCCACCTCCCAGACCAGGAGGTGGAAGGCGGGGACCCTCTGGGTCCACTTTGCACTTCATCACCAGCGCCCAGCACAAGGTCCCACGCTGCCCAATAAACAGTGATGGATAATCTTCATCCAAGGAACTTTCCCGCCCTCCTTCCTCCTACAGCGTTCTTCACCCCCACCGCCACTCCGGCACTTCATTCTTTACCCTTTAACCTCTCTCTCAGCACAGTAACCTCTCATTAATTCAATCACCCGGCCCCTATTGGGCGCCCGATCCTGGGCACACAGCGGTAAACTCTGCCTCGCAACACCGTGGGGGCCTTCGCGCACCCCTCCTCCGCGTGAGCATTCCGAGCCCGGTGCAGTCCCGGCTACCGCGCGCCCCTGCTCTCCGCACAGCGCTACCGCTCCGAAGGCGCTCTGACATCCCCGCAGGCGCAATCCGGAGCTAGGGTAGGGCAGCCGGGGCTGGAGGCGGCGGGGCGCGGGACGGAGCTCCCGGAAAGTTGGAAGAAGTGATTACAAATGGGGACCCGACTCACCCGGCCTCGGCGCTCGCCCCTCCTTGCAGGCCCGGGATGCCGGCGTCAGCCCCTAGATGTCGGGAAGAGGGCGCCGGCCAGTCCAAGGAGGAGCTTCCAGGAGGCTGGGGAGCAAGGGTGCTGGGCTCCTCATGCCGGCTCAGGTCTCCCAGGCGTGCCGGCTCCCAGGGCCACCAGGCCTAGGCCTGCGCGAGGAGGGAGCGCGCGCCTCCCTCCACCCACCCGGTCCTCGCCCCTAACCCGCTCTCGGGCCCACACTCACCTGCCTGGGTGCGAGCGCCGTCCCGGGCCAGGCAGTCAGGCTTCGATCCCCACTGCGGCGCGCTCCGATGCCGTCATCGGGACCCCCGCCCCCCAAACCAGCCCTCCGCTCACCCGCAACTCCGCCCGCCGGGGCTCTCGGGGGCGGAGGCGCGAGCCGGGTGGCGTCGCGGAGTCGGCCCGCAGACAGGGCGGGCGGGGCCCGTGCAGAGGGCCCAGGCCTGGAGAGTGTGAAGCATCCTCATGATGGCATCGACTTATTTTCTAGAATGTGTCTCCAAACTGAACTCCAGACCATCCTGTCCTCAGCCCCGAGTCACCTTCGTCCCCCGTCTCTGTTTTCCACTCCCAGTCCCAAACCACGCCCCCTGCACGCCACTCACAAAGCCAGCAGAAACCTCCATCTCCCCACGTTTAAAAAAGTTTTCTCAGTTCTGAGACTCTCATTTTCTCACACTTCAGTATTTCTAAAATTGAGTTCCATCTTCCACTCATTGTCAAGGGAAATTTGGCACCAGGAGGGGCAGGAGAGGTGATCTGGCGGTGTCCACGGCAGCCGGCAGCCTCAAAGAGATGGTTGTTGTCTTCACCTCTGAGACCTCTGATCCATTGTTTGCACTGGAAGCACCGTGAATGGGTGAATTTTAAAATCTGAAAACATATTTGTCACTTAAAATGCCATTAGAAAAAGTAAACTCCAGTGTCGTTTCTAGTGATATTATGTATATAGAAGATTACCTGGCATAGACAGGCAACATAATTAAAGGCTATAGAAATTGCCAGGCTCTTCAGATAAATCTATATTAGGAAACCCTCAGCCTCCAGTAACAGAAACCACAATTTGAAGTGGCTTGAACGATAAGGTCATTTGTTATCTTGGGGAACAGTGAAACCCAGAGGGATGAGGGCTCCTGGGCAGGTTGAGTCAGTGGCAACATTACCAAGGAGCTGGCCTTTTTAACTTTTTTTTTTTTTTTTTTGGCATCACCTTCAGACAGAAAATGTCCAGAGGAAGAAGACAGCAGTGTGTGGCGAGGCATGCCCTTTGGATCAAGAGCCCTCTGAGCTGATTTCCTTCCCATTCCATGTACCACACAGCTTAGGCCTGTCCACTCGCAAACTACTCGCTGTCAAGGGGATGGAACTACCATGATTGGCTTGCAATACCCGTGTGAGACAGCGTGGATATAGGGAAGTCATCCACAATCTCCACAACCACATCCTCGAAGCTTCATAGAGGAGAGGCTGGCCAGCTGATTCATGTATCACAAAGGACCATGATTCAGGTACCAAGCATCTATCTGTCAGATGCCAGGAGCTGTGCCATTTCCTCCAATAGATAATTCAATTAAGGAGAAACTAAAACCTCAAGCAATTGGAAAGAGCACATGAAACCCCAGTGTTCTCTGACATGCTGTAGAATGACACTGTTGGTCCCAAATATTCTAAATCAGTTGGGGTCCTGAACAAGAACAACACAGAGCAGCCTGCCGCTGTGATACCCAAAGAGAATCATTTTAGACCCTGAAAATGTGAAGAAGCTGAAAACTGAACTTGGATCTTCATGTGTGTAACATGTAATAAAAGGTGATGATGATTAATGAAACATCATGTTTTAAGAGGTACAATTCTGGGCCAGGCAAGATGGCTCACGCCTGTAAACCCATCACTCTGGGAGGCTGAGGCAGGCAGATCCCTTCAGCCCAGGAGTTTGAGACCAGCCTGGGCAATAGGGCAAAGCTGTTTCCACAAAAAATGCAAAAAATAGGCAGGCATGGTGACACGGGCCTATAGTCCCAGCTACTCCGGAGGTTAAGATAGGAAGATACACTGGCTTAAGCCTGGGAGGTAGAGGTTGCAGTGAGCCAAGATGGTGCCACTGCACTCCAACCTGCGTGAGACAGCGAGACCCTGTCTCAAAAAAAAAAAGAGAGAGAGAGAGGTACAATTCTAATTCCAATTACAGTAATTAAATTGTAGAGAAAATAAAACTTTTATATTACAATAAATTGTTAAAGCATTAGAAAGATGTACCTTTTTTCTTGCTCTTTCTGGTGGATGGGCAGTGTTTTTCTGTGTATCAGTAGTACTCATATGCAACAATCTAGTTTGTGTACCCTAGTGTCCAAATTGTGGCCTTTATCACTATTTTCCATTAAAAGTAGTTGATGCCATGTATTAGGGTAAGAGCTGGAATAATTATTTTGTGGTCAAAAAATTCAGATGCTTTTAAAATGTATGTTGTAGGCCTGAAATGACAAAAGCCCCACCTTAAAGGGGTTCTTACCGGCCAACTTGTGACATCATGAGCTTCAGAAGAGCAAAGAATAATTATAGTTACTTGAAACAAATTGAGTCTGTCAAAATTCCTTTTGTGGAATTTGACAAGCTGATTTTACTACTTACATGGAAAAGCAAAGTGCCGGAAGTTGCAAAAGACACTTGCACAAGGGCAGTATGGGTGGACTTGCCCGAGAAGATGTGAAAACATATTTGAAACTATTGTAATTCAGACAGTGTGTTCATGCTACAGGAATAACAAATAGAACAAATTTGGAAACCAGATCTGTGACAAAGTAGAGAGTACAGATCAGTGGGGGAAAGCTATTCAATCCATCAAGCCGAACCTGGTCCATTGTTCATCAGACATCAGTAAATCAGAAGTTTTCAGCTGACATTTGAGAGCACTCTTTTTTATTTTATTTTATTTTTTTATTAGACGGAGTCTCACTCTGTTGCCCAGGCTGGAGTGCAGTGGTGGGATCTCGGCTCACTGCAAGCTCCGCCTCCCAGGTTCACGCCATTCTCCTGCCTCAACCTCCCGAGTAGCTGGGACTACAGGCGCCCACCACCACGCCCGGCTAATTTTTTGTATTTTTAGTAGAGACGGGGTTTCACTGTGTTAGCCAGGATGGTCTTGATCTCCTGACCTCGTGATCCACCCGCCTCGGTCTCCCAAAGTGCTGGGATTACAGGCATGAGCCACCACGCCCGGCCTCGAGAGAACTCTTAAACTTCCTGCAGTATACAATTCATTTAGAGAGAAACTCAAGGCTGAGTATGGTGGCTCATGCCTGTAATCCCAGCACTTTGGGAGGCTGAAGCGGGAGGATAGCTTGAGCCCAGGAATTCAACACCAGCCTGGGCAACACAGCGAGACCTTGTCTCTACAAATAAAAAAAAAATTAGCCAGGCAAGGTGGTGTGCACCTGTGGTCCCAACTACTCTGGAGGCTGAGATGGGAGGATTGCTTAAGCCTGGGAGGTCAAGGCTACAGTAAGCTGTGATTACACCACAACACTCCAGCCTGGATGACAGAGACCCCATCTTCAAAGAGAGAGAGAGAGAAAGCACAACTGAAAATTCAGTTAGGAAATGTGTAAGACAGTTATCCACATGGAAGAAAATATTGGATTCCTACTTAAACCATACTTATAAAAATTAATTAAATGTAGGGCTGGGCCAGGCGCAGTGGTACATGCCTATAATCCCAGCACTTTGGGAGGCTAAGGCAGGCAGATAACTTGAGCTGAAGGGTTGCAGACCAGCCTGGGCAACACAGCGAAACCCCATCTCTACAAAAAAAATGCAAAAATTAGGTGGGCATGGTGGTATGCACCTGTAGTCCCAGCCACCCTGGAGGCTGAGGTGATGAGATTACTTCAGCCCGAGAGGTCAAGGATGCAGTGAGTCGTGATAGTGCCACCGCACTCCAGTCTGGGCGACAGAGTGAGACCCTGTCTCAAAAAAAATAATAATTAATGAAATGTAAAAGCAAAACTATAAAAGCGTTAGAAGAAAATCATCATGGCAAATATTAGGGAAGCATCATCATAACTTCATGGTAGGGAAGAGCTTTTAAAACATAACTCTCAGCACCACAGGAAAGGTTAGAAACAAACAAAAATCACAACTCAAAATGGCAAACCACAAAAGGAAAAGGTGGTAATTGTGACTAAATCAAAATTAAGAACTTTTGTTCATTGAAAGGATGAACAAAGAAACCAGAAAGAGAATGAAAATGCAAGCAACAAGCTGGAAGAAGATATTTGTGATATTTATCCTTGATAAGAATTAGTATTCAGAAAATATAAAGAACTTCTAAAAATCATTGAGAAAAACTAGGTCTGGCATGATGACTCACACCTGTAATACCAGCACTTTTGGAGGCTGAGGCAGGAGGATCGCTTGAGCCCAAGAGTTCAAGGCTGCAGTGAGCTTTGATTAAACCACTCATTCTAGCATGGGTGGCAGAGCAAGACCCTGTCAAAAGAAAGAAAGAAAGAAAAAGAAAGAAAGAGAGAAAGAAGAGAAGAGAAGAAAAGAAAAAAGAGAAAAGAAAAGAAAGGGAGGGAGGGAAGGAAGGAAGGGAGGGAGGGAGGGAGAAAGGAAGGAAGGAAAGAAAGAAAAGAGAAAAAGAAAGGGCAAATACTTCACAAAAGAGGAAATGCAAATATTAAATAAACATCATAAACAATGTTCAATATCATTGCTAATCAGGGAATTAAGTCCATGACAAGATTCCATTTTCTTCCCTTCAGATTTAGGAAAAGTGATTAAATTAGACAATATCAAGTGCTGATGAGGATGCCGAGTAAGAGGACTCTTATACTTCTGGTGAGAATGTAAATCAGAGCAACCACTTTGAATGGCAATTTGTCAGTATCTAGTTAACGATACACGTTTTATCATTCAGGAATTCCACTCTTAGTCATATTCCCTAAGAAACTCTTATAAGAATGTTCATTGTCACAAAGTATGTAACAGTAAAAATACAGAAACAGGTCGGGCATGGTAGCTCATGCCTGTAATCCCAGTGCTTTGGGGGACCGAGGTGGGCGGACCACTTGTGGTCAGGAGTTCGAGACCAGCCTGGCCAACATGCTGAAACTCCATCTCTACTGAAAATACAAAAATTTAGCCTGGCGTGGTGGCTGGCGCCTGTAGTCACAGCTACTTGGGAGGCTGTGGCAGGAAAATCGCTTGAACATGGGAGGTGGAGGTTGAAGTCAACCAGGATCGTACCACTGCACTCCAGCCTGTGGGACAAAAATGAAACAGTCTCAAAAAAAAAACAAAAAAACAAAAAAACAAAAACAGAAACAAGCCAAATGTCTATTGACACGAGAGTGATGTGGCAGAGATTACAAGTTACCCCCATCCCTGGGATCTACTTCCCCTCCATTTAGGACTTCTGATTTTTAATTAGATGCATAGCCACTCCAAATGAAAACTATATTTCCCATCCCCCTTTTAAACCAGGAGTGGTCATGTGACTAAGTTCTGTCCATTGGGTTATAAGCAGTAGTGTGTAATTTCTGGTGTGGAGGCATGCCATTCTCCTTTCTCCTTGCTCTTTTCTGTGGCTGGAATATGGAGTTGATGGCTGGAGCTGGAGCAGCTATCTTGATTCATGAGGTGACTTTAGGGAAAGAAATCATTCATGACAGAATAGTAAGGTTCTGTCCTTAAGATAGAAGGAACCTCAATCCCTGGCACTGCTGAGTGTCATTCCAGTCTGGACTACTCATCTCTGGGCTTTCACAGGAGACAGAAATAAACTCCTCACTTGTTTAAATCAAGTGTGCTAGACTGTACTATTGTTCAGCAAATATCTGCTCCCTTCCCCTTCCACTAGGGGAGAAGTCTACTTCCCTGTCCCATTGATGCGGACTTGGCTGTATGACTTGCTTTGGCCAATGGAATGTAAGTAGATATGATACAAGGAGAGGACTTGAGATGAGACTTGGTTCTGTGCTCCAGTGATCTGTTGTGAGAAGAGTATGCCCCAGATAGCCACTGCCACTGACCCCTTATCCTAGAGCCCTGAAATAGCACCCCTGGTGCAGAACTGAACCCATGCACAGCCTGGAGCCAAGTTCAGCTGATCTGCAGAGCCACTGGGAGTGCCACTGTGATGAGCCAAACCATAGTTGACCTATGAACGTAAAAATAAAGGCATGTTGTTGTAAGCCACAGTTTTAGGACAGTTTGTTATGCAACAGTATCATGGCAAAGGCTGACTAGTACACATTGTTATTGGGAGCCTTCTGTCTTTTAAAACTGAATCCATTCTAATACAAATGACTGAATAAATTAGGGCATATTTATATATACTCATTAAATATAGAGTTTTAGAATTAAAATCTCTAGTGAAAATGAATGAAGCTCAGAAACATAATTTTGAGTGAAAAGAAGCAAATCTCAAGAATACACATAATCACACTTAAATAAAGCTCAAGGCATGCAAAACTCAATCATATTGTATTGGGGTGTATATATAGGAAGTAAATCTATAAAGAAAAGCAAGGGAATGAGAAACAACAAAATTCAGGACTGTGGTTATAGCAGGTTGGGGCTGCGGATGGGGAGGGATTGTGGATGTCATGCAGGATGTTTTAAAGATAGTGCTTGTGTTCTGGATGTAGAGCAGTGAGTAGAAGGGTCCAATAGTACATCCTGGATGGGGAGCTGACCACACAGGCTTGGTCCCCTCTCTGCGCACAGAGGAACCTCTGGATGACCCCACTAGCTCTAATGACATACTAACAAGGTATGCAGAAGTTTCCACTGACTCAGTTTACAGAAAAGCTTAGAAGAATTTGACTTTTTAGCTTGTAATCAACATTTTTTTTCTTTTTCGAGATGCAGTTTTGCTCTTGTTGCCCAGGTTGCAATGCAATGGCGTGGTCTCGGCTCACTGCAACCTCCGCCTTCCAGTTTCAAGCGATTCTCCTGCCTCAGCCTTCTGAGTAGCTGGCAATTATTACAATTATTACAGGTGCGTACCACCACACCCGGCTAATTTTTGTATTTTCAATAGAGACAGGGTTTCACCTTGTTGGCCAGGCTGGTCTCGAACTCCTGACCTCATGATCTGCCAGCCTCGGCCTCCCAAAGTGCTGGGAATTACAGGCATGAGCCACCTAATCAACATTTAAATATTTAAAATAATTTGATGTATGCATTTTATAAATTTTGATTAAGTGTGAAGTATTTAAATGGTTAGGAAAGTTATGCTTAAGACAATGAGCTTCGAAGCACAAGTCATAGCGGTATCTCTCTCTCCATGCCCAGAAGTCCCTTGGCTATTAAGATCCCAGATCATTATTGGGAGGAAGCCTGGGCATGGTGGTTCGCACCTGTAATCCTAGCACTTTGGGAGGCCGAGGTGAGCAGATCACTTGAGGTCAGGAGTTTGAGACCAGCCTGAACAACATGGTGAAACCCCGTCTCTACTAAAAACATGAGAATTAACTGGGCATGGTGGCACATGCCTGTAATCTTAGCTATTCAGGAGGCTGAGGCAAGACAATCACTTGAGCCTGGGGGCGCGGAGGTTGCAGTGAGCTGAAATCGTGCCACTGCACTCCAGCCTGGGTGACAGAGCGATACAGTCTCAAAATAAAATTATGGGAAGAAAAAGAGGTAAATAATTGCCTGGATAAATGTATGTTAATTTCTGTAATTGTGTGCATCTCCAAAAGCTGTGGCTGTGTTAGAAGTGGGTTTTGTAAGCTGGAACGGAAGGCATTGGGTATTTCTCTGAAGGACCCTGGGCAACCCAGTGTGAAGTGGAGGTCTTTGCTAGGTCCTGAGCCACACTGGAGATACTGAGTGTGCGTGGGCCTTGCCAAAGGGATGCCCCGCAGAACAGGGGGAAGTCCCCCATTGAGCCTAGAGTCAAGGAAGCAAATGTCTGCCATTTAGAGGAGCTACTTTGCCCTTGTTACTGGCCAAAATATGTTCAAAATACTGAGAAGCAGGTTCAGTGTACCTTTCTGCCTAATCAAGAGGTTTCTAACAGTAAAAAGAAACTTACAACTTACACTGTTTGCTTCCTGGGCTGTCCTATTCCATATGTAGCCTCCAGCACCTGTGCGCAGGCCCGGGGCTGGGTGAGGGAACTGGGCCTGACCAGCAGGCATGTTGGCGGCCGCAGCCCTCATGCTGCTGAGGAGGCAGCTTTCCTGCCTTCTGGAGTATAGCCTAGCAGGAGGAGCCACAGGACTGGGGAGGAGTAGATAGCTAGGAATGTGGTTTCTGGAACACTAGGAAGAAAGCAGCATGGGTGGGTGAGGCCCAGGACAGGCAGGCATTTCTTTCTGTACATCTAGGCCTGAGGTCAATTCTCCAGCATCTGTCCATGGGAGCCCTGCCAAGGCTGTGCTGGGCTCTGTCTGCTCAGCCCTGTTATATCAGCTTCTAAGAAACCCTCTTGCCAACCCCACCCCTCATCTTCCCTCCCCATCCCCCAGGGAACTGCTGGGTGTAGTTTATATCATGGAAGTGGGGTGGGGAGGGTCCATGGCTGGCTCAGGGGCCTGGCCACATCTTCATGTGTATATCTACCAGCTTCTCTCCTGTCCCCATTCTACATCCTCAGACTCCAAAACCACAGATTGAGGCCCATGACTCATTACACCAAAGATCTGCCAGGGCCCCAGAGTCAGTTCCAGGGCCCCAGAGTCAGTTTCAGGGAGCAGGGCTTCCAGGTGTGCAGTAGAGTGGGAGCTAACAGACTGAGTGTTTATGTGTCTGAGGGGGACCTGTGGAAAATGAGTATAAATATATGGATGTCTAAAAGGACTGACTGAAGACTCATAATTTTCTGTGCATATTTCTGAAGCTGCAGGTGAAAATAACTAGAAAAATAGGATTTGGTTTGGCAGGCTACTTGGTATTATCTAGGAATATTTAAAATGCACATATTCTTTCACCCAGCATGTCATGGTTACAAGTTACGTATCTATCACATATGTGTATATATATATTTCCACACATGTACACTAGACATTTTTGATAAGGGTATTTATTATAGCACTGTTTGCAGTAGCAAAAAAGAAAAAAAAAGGAAACAAAAGTCCATCATTAGGGAACTAGTTAAATCAAATAAGGCATATCCATATTATGCAGTAGTTATTATGTGGCCGTCGAAAAGAGCGAGTGGGATTTATGATGTGATACAAAAATCTCTCCAAGCTGTGTTATTAAGTGAAAAAAGTAGGCATGTATAACACCCCACAGCTTGTGTAAACACAAGCGGGGAGTGCATACACACGCGCCTGCAGGCGCATAGCCCTGTATACACGAGAGACGGCACCATGGTGGTTTTTAATGAAGGGGAACAGGGGGGCACGGGGAGAAAGACACATACCCTTTTGCAATGTTTGAATTTTATAGTTGTATCAATGCATTTTCTTTTCCTTT